TCTGAAGGGAATGCCAAAGGGGCGGGGAACAGGAGCAGGAGCAGGCGCAGGAGCTGGAAATGGGAATGCGACCAGGATGCGAGCAGGAGCATCGCATCGCCCAGCAACGACAGCAGCGTTAGCTCGCCCAACTGCCAACTGCCACTCCAGATCCGGAATCCCATTTCAATATCATGCATTCAATATTCACTTAATAAATTCGCAACATTTTTGCCTTTTTCGGGGTTTGCATATTTTGAAGACCAAAGAAAATGTACACTGCAAGAAGAGTTTATTGTTTAGGAAGAATTAATTAGAAGTATTTGTTAGTATTCAAAATTAAGCTCAAGTGAAATGAATTCTCACAGTAACTCTGTAGTATGGTACGTAAATGATAGCTTTCTGTGGGAAATCACAATTTAATTGTTATTATTTAAGGTATTTTCCTAACATTAACTTTTTATATTTATATATTTGTAATAAGCTTGACTTTATGCTTCCGCCTCATTTTCATAGGACTGGCATTGGTCTCTTTCCCCTTGTTAATGATAATTCTACGTAACAATTAGATACCATTTACGAAAGCAACCACCAAATTCTCCCTGTGCAAAAAGACAGTCCTTAACGTGCGTATATGCAGGCCATGCAAATGCCAATGCAAAATCATCTAGCGGAAATTATGCTGACTAATTGCAGGCGATTAATCAGCTCCTGGCCCGCCCACACACAGCCACAATGGCGATGTGAGGCGGCGTGTGCAGTCGTGGCTGTTGAGTAACTGGCTAGAATTGAATTTGATATGCTCCATTGGCACCTTGCCTCATCCTCCTCTTCCACCTCGTGTGTCAGCCCAAGTCGGGACAAAGTAATTAAATTACTCAGCGGCGCAAAAGTGTTTTCTATTCGAATTTTTCATCTGACATGCAAACTAAGAGGGGTTAAGTTGCAAGTTGCCGTGTTAGCTTTGAATTATTAGAACTAAATCAAAATTTGTAATTCAGTGTTAAATTTGTTTAACAAGCTGTCGTTAACTGTGAGGTCGGATTAAATGTTATTAGTTATTAAATATTTGTCTTTTAACGAGGTTTATACTTTGATACAACAGTTAAGCTCATGGCTAAGTTTGTTGTTTAAATTTAAAAAATACTTTTAAGCTAGATTTTCCATCTCCCTCTAAGCTGAAACCTTAAAGTCCATCGCAATGTTAAACAAATTTCCACATCAGCACAAAAAGTAAACATTTTGCCCAGTCCGAAAGGGCGCAAAAAACGAAATAAGCATGTCCATTGGCGAGTATTTTGACAAATGGCCCGATTGGACATTGAAACATTTTATCTGCCATGTCGTCGATGCCAATGGGCGTAGTCCTGTGGGAGGTGGGGGTGGTTGGTGGTGGGCTGCTGGCCAAGTGGGTGGAATCTGATAAGGGGCTGGGCGAAGGGCGATGCGTTGGGTCAGTGCGTGGCATTTTGGTCATTTATATGAACACTCGTCCTTTTTCATTGCCAGTTGGTGTCCCTGCCTCGCTCTCTCTCTCTCTCTCTCTCTGCTATCTCTGTCTGGGCACATGTGTGTAACTTCCAAACTCCAAACCAAACTCAACCGAACCGATCCAGAAGGGCCGCCTTCGGGAGCACATCATGGCGAATGACAGATTAGCAAAGTCCCAATGGACATTTGTAACCGAACGGCGACTCGAGTGTGGGCGGTATGTCCACTGAAAGAAATAATAATCTTTCTTATTATGATAATTATTTGTATAAGATTGGCAAGAGAAGCATTTTAGTTCCCATCCCTCAGCTTCTTTGACTTGATTTGTAGATATTTTCCAATAATATTAAGACCAAGATGATCTTGTTTTAGTATCTAACCTTCGCCTGACACTTCTTTAAAGATTTCAAGCTACTTTACCTAAGCTTCTAGTAGTTTCTTCGAGTGTCGACGAATGGGATTATATTTTGGGTGGTGGATCCGAGTGTAATTTAAATTGCCAGCCAGGCCGGAACGCAGCGCTTTTGACCGCTGCCCACCTTGAGGTCCCAGGAGACGTTCGCCGCTGGACTCTCCTTATCGGCCGTGATTACTTTCTAATCCGTGGCAGCATCAGAGGAATCAGAGGCATCGGAGGCAGTTCGTCCCGGCGTTGACACAAACAAATGGCCAACAGAAGCAGCGCCAGGGGCCGAGGCAGGGGCAGCGGCAGTCGGAATGACAGGGCACATCAAACGGGCCAGAGTGAAAGGTATTAATTGCCGGACAGAGTCCAGGTAGCCTGCCAGGACTTGCGGTGGGTGAGAGTGTTTTTAATGTGAAAGCAATTTCAGCAAATCCAAGTCAAGACTCAAACGAAACTGCCGCCACCGCCTCATACAGGTACATGTGGAAATTCTTCAGTTATTATGACCAAAGTGGCCATAATTATTTTGATGTTGGTCCGTAATTAGTGTTCGATCAGCTGAGTGAATGAGGGAGCTGGGCAGGAAAGTCGGAGGGCGAAAGGGAAAGTGAAAAATTGCATTTCATGCGTGGCTGCCTCAACAGGGAAATTACGCACTTATTCCCCATCTATTGGAAAGTGAAATGCGTTTGGGAAAAACTAATTGCCGTCATTCGGTGCACTTGCAAAATGGCCGACTTGTATGTAATGGCCGAAAGGAAACGCTGTAATTGCTGGAGAGTAACATCTGAGGGAGATGATCTGTGGATTAATTTGGTGCAGGAACTAGGGATAAATTATTGCATTGAGTGGCATGAGGGTGATGAAGGCAGTGTAGTTCATAAGTGAGGAGAGTGGGGATGCGATTTCAGCAGGAATTTTAATAGATTGACTTAGAAATTGATAGAAAAAAGAGTTTTTGTATTAAAATTATATCAGTATCGAGGAAAGCACTCATATTAAAAGTAAAAGAAAGTCGTAAAAAAGTGTAATGAGGGTGTTGAAAGAAGTGTAGCTATCCTAGAAACTGATTTGGCAGAACGTTTTGAACTGACTTCGTAACAGTTTTGGGCAAATCTGTCATACTTAAAGTAACAAAAGTCTTGTTAAAGATTAATTAATGAATAATTAACATGAGGAAAACCATAAGAGATGATTACCATAAGAGTTGTTATCTTTAACATTTAATATCTTAACTTAACAGTGTTCTTTATTAATAGTATCATTGTTTAACCTCATAAACTAACATATAGATAGTATTAACACTATAAAATGAGTCAAAGTTTTCATCCTCTAATCTACAACTGAGACCCCTTTAACCAGAGGTTAGAAGAAATCTTTTTCCCGTTTCTCCCGACTTTTAACTGCGTAACACCATCAGCTTGGAAATCGACACCCAATCTCCTCGCCCACACCCACACCCTTGCCCACATGGAACATCTGCTCAAATTGAATCCAGCCAAAGGTAACAGGGTGCCTAGGCCAAGGAGAGCTCCTCTCCTGCCATTTGAATGCGTATCTCTGTCGGCGGCTGAGTAATGGCCGCAACTCCCGTTGACGAGCACAACAAATTTCATTGCAACGTCTCATACTATCAATGTCGGCAATATGTCAAATATAACAGCAGCAGTTGGGATCGGGGGATATATGTATATCTCTATATATATATACGAATGTAGACTGCGGGAGTGGCAGCCGCGTGATGCCCAAAAAGTAAAAATAACAGAAGCTGCTGGGCGATGCAATGGCAGCAGAGGCGCATAAAAATTCATTTTGAAAACTTCTGCCTCCGACAGCCGCTCCCGCATCCCTCCCGCATGCCAGGCACAAATTAATAATGACGCCAACGGCGTCGACGGCGCGACGAGGCTATATAGCCATATATCTAGATGCAGTCGGGTGGGCAGCAGATTGCACCTAGAGATGGGAACGGGATCAGGCATAGTCAAGTCTATGAGGTGTACATCAGCTTTACTTACAGATTCTTATTATGACTTTATTAAGATACTATGCAAAAAATAATAGGAAATATTGTATACTTTAAAAGATATTTATATTTAAATTTAACTACCTCATTCATTACTTTTCGATTTTCACAATAAATATACTTCTAATAATAATATTTCACTTTAGCCAGGAATGATGCCATGACATGAGCCTATATGACATTTTTATTTTAAAAGCCAAAAGTCAACATCCTCCTTTCCTTTAGCTCCCATACGAAGGATAAGAAACCAACTTATTAATTCAAAAATTTTGTTTCCTTACAAAGAATGATTCCCTTTAAAACCAGAGTAGAAGCCATGCATAAGGGAAATCTTTTCAAACGGCTTGCATTTTATTCCCAAAACCGCATTCAGCCTCTTTGACCTCTCATAGAGCACTCAAACATTACTGAAATATGAATATAATTGTATAAAATATTCGTTTCATCTATAATCGTGTCACGCTGACATATCTCTCCCCGATTTGAATGCAGTTTGCGACATCAAAGAGCTGGCGGATGGCTGTCTGACTCTTGCCATTGGCTTGTTTGAGTGACATATCGTTCTGCAGGAGGCTTTGAAGTGGAACCCGTGGCAACCGTTTAAGATATAATTAACTCGGTGCCCACGAAAATTGGCAAAGAATAAATGGAAGTGAGATTTGTTTTCAATATCCAAATGGCCCCCAGGGCCAAAGCCAACAACCAAACAAATGACAAACACAATTCCCATTATGTGGGAAATGTGTTAACAGAGAAATCAGCGGAATAAACAAAAAGCAAACAGAAAGCCCCAAAAAACAAAGAAAAGCAAATGACAGTCGAACGTTGGGAGGAATCAAAACTTTGCCCAATGACAAGCCACTCAACTCATTGACATTGAAAACAACAAACAGACAAACAAACAAACAAACAAAACTCACACAAAATTAGATTAATTTGGGTAATTTGAAGTTTCGTTGTAATGAGTTTGGTCAGTCATTTGGCTTTGACATTTTCGTTCATTTGGCTTTGTTGTCTTTATTTCGTGGGTCCACCACGGACTTTGTCAGCGATTTTCTTAGCCCCCAACCCAAGCCCAGTGAAAACTCAACAAGAGACCCAACTCGGACTCAAAGCTTTATTCATCTTAGAATTTTTGTCATAACGTTGCCCCTTTGGCTGCTCCTTATTTATTCGGCTGCCCGAAATGTTGAAGTTGCCCATTTTTTGAGGGCCCCGAGCAACATCAGTTCCGCATTCAGGGACTCCGATTCCGATTCCAAATCCAATTCCGACCCGCCTGCAGTTGCATCTCCCGGCAGAACTCCCAGGCGGGGAAGGGGCGAACGTGTTTCTTATTATTTTCCGCTGATTAATCGATTGTCGGCTGCGTGTCGCTGGCTCTCCCTGCCTCCATATGTCATCCGCAGTGCAGCGCCCAGTGATTCAGACACTTGTCACTGGAAAAATGTAAACATGAAATGCATTTATGTAGAAATGTGAAAAAATATCTGCGCGAAACACAAATATCCCTCCCCGCCCTGTCATCTGCCGGGGGCAAGAGGGCTGGGGATGCAAAGTTGTTGCTAGTAAAAAATGGTTTGACATGGCGCGTCTCAGTTGAGAGAGTCGACAGGGTTGGATTGGGGGAGGGAGCCATTGCGTAAGGGAAAATGGATTACTTTTCTGATTTTTTGGGAAAAATAATATTAAAAAGCAAGGAGATAGTATTATAAAAGATATCTACGATATGATCCAAAGGGTTCTATCAAATTTACATTTTTCATTACTAACTTGTTCGGAAGTTTTCTATCTAATTTTAAGGCTTAACAGAAGGAAAAAACTCAGTTGCCCAGTGTGTGTTGCCAATTATGTTGGACAAAAGCCAGAGCTTGGAATTGAGAAAGCGAAAGCGAAATATTCACCAATTCCCAAATGTTACATTTTTCAGCAAGGAGCGGGACTGCAATTTGAGCCGCTTGGATTGGATTTCCTTGAGAGGCCTTGGCGTTGGCCTGCTCATTGTTTTCGGAGAGCCATGGCCCCGGTTCCCAGTTCGCAGTTCCCAGTACAAAGTTACCAATTCCCAGTCCCTTCTCCGGATTCGGAATCAGCCCTCCCTGCTGGCTCTGTATGCTGGCTCCCCCTTGGCTTCAGACCCCGGCTGCTGGCCCGGTCTGCTGGGCTGCTTTTGATGATGATGGCATTTCCTTTGGTAGTTGCGTACGTCATAGATTAATGGCAGCAATCCATCAAAATCACTCGATGGACATGACGAACAGCCGAAAATTCAGAAGAAGCAGCCAGCCAGTCCAGCAGCTCTGTGGGAGCAAGTGAGACGGACATATGGAGCGGGAGAGAGAAGGGGATGTTTGCCAGCTTGCCAGCTAAAAAAAGGCAAAATTTTTGGGTTTTTTGTTAACTGCGTTCTTTGTGCTTGGTCGATTTTGTGTTTGTTTCCAGCTCCTGGATTTTGTTGTGAATTTTTATCAGGCTCTGCGACCACCAAAGTTTGTATTGGCTTTCAGTTTTGTTTCGAGATAAGCCGAAGTGAAAGGTTTCTCTATATTATATTGACATATTTGTATAGGGGTTATCAAAAGGGAGTATCTTAAAGTTACGTAAAAAGGTTAGTAAACCATCTCTTGTCAGATGTGTTACTTTTATTGGATGGCACTAAGAACAGAGGGGTAGATTTTGTAAGTAAAAGCTGATTCAAGCTTTTAGTAATTCCGAAATAAAGAAGGTTAACCAAAAACTTAATAGGAAATATATTCCGAAAAACTTAAAATTAAATATTTAAAAATCTATAAGATAAACGTTACTGTTTTATACAGGCTTAAAATATTTATTTTGCTAGTTGGAATGGGACAAGGCTCCACCTATTGTCAAGAAAAGCATGTTTAGTAACTGATTGTGACGTCACTGCCCATGTGACGCCTTATAACATACATTTCTTAATAAATAGCGAAATAATGCTCCGATTTGAACAATCTTTGATAAATCGATAGATATTGACAAAAAATTGTTATACAAGGTCAAACGAAGACCTTCATTATAATATTATGGACGCCACAGTTTTCCGCGGCTTGTAATCGTATGAGTGGGCGTGGTAAGATGCTGAAATAAACTTGTGCTGAGTAGAGACCTCAATAGTCTTTATGCTTAACCTCAACTTTGTATCTCTTTTAGTTCCTGAGATCTCGGCGTTTATACGGACAGACCGACGGACGGACACACGGAAATGGCTTAATCGACTTCGCTATTGATACTGATCAAGAATATACTTTATAGGGTCGGAAACGCTTCCTTCTACTTGTTGCATATATTTAAACAAATCTAATATACTCTACGAGTATGTCTGCCGAAATACATTCCAACTTCCATAACTCGAAGCACCGCCTGCAAGCCAAATCAAACATTTATTTTCGACTTACAAGAAATCAGGAAACTACACTTCAATTATTAAGAAAATGTTTTCATACGATTACTTTAGCGAGTAATCTTAAAAACTTAACAAAAGCTTTAGAACTTGGTTAACAAATGTTAAATTATAAATCCTACAAAATTGTAAAAACAAGACGAACATAACAATCGGATTCGAAGATTCCCATTGAATCGAAGGCGTCAAAGTGCATCGCCCAGGCAGACTCTGCGATCAATCAATTGCCGGAAGAGCTGGCAACTTGTGGCAAGGTCCAATGACAACGCTGCTATGAATAGAACCCGGATCCCAGACCATTGCCATCGCACTTACCAACGAGGAGGCACACCACTTAGCATGAATCCGGCATTAGTGGGAAGGCATCGACATCCCCAGAAGACACTTGAGATCGGCCATGGAGGAGGGGAAAGTAGGGAAAGTGGGAAATTTGGGGGCACTGGCATTCGCTTGCCACGTTCAATTAACAACAAAAGTGTGACTGTGACACGTCCTCGTTGGAAAGAGTGTTCACTGTACACCTCTTCTGTCGCTCTTCTTTCCCAGACATCTGTGAATTTTATTCAAAACTCTTGTCTCCTGGTCGACGGCATTATCGGAAACTGATTAATAACCATTGTCGGGCCATGTCGGCATTCCCAAAGTGTGACTCCATCTTCCCCGATCCCTCGTCTTGTACAGACAGCCAAGATCTTGTTCCGAACTCTGTACTTTGTCTTGATCTGCGAGGGATTTTGGGCTCTCATTAGGCATCTTCCAACCAAAACACGTTGTTTGGACTTAAAATAAAAATATTATGGGAATGTGATATTTGAAGTTGATATTTTCGTAACTTTTAAGCAATCAATAAGTGAAGCTGCTAGAACTGGCTGTGCATCATCACAAAAATATAAATAATTGAAGAAAGATGTTTAATATTGTTCTGAACTTATTAGCTTATTCAATAATTGAAATTAAACTTCCTAAAACTAGGAATTTAAAATTGATGGGTAAGAAGTTTCCTTTCCTTTCAAGGTGGAGAAGATATTTAAAGATATATTTTCCAAGTTCTATTTTCGTTGTTTTTCGATTAATCAAAAAATTATGCTCAGACAGAAGCATTTGTTTAGGGGATTTATCCGAATGTAATTCAAACTTTGAATACAATTTAATTGATTTTTAAGTGCCGCACAAATTACATAATCGCGTTCGGGAAATCCCAAGGACTTAGACTCCCATTCAGAGTCGAATTCGGAATTAGTTGGCTGCCTTTTGGGGCTGGAGAGAGGTTTTCCTGCGATTATTCGTCCGTTTTGGTTGATAAATGCTTTTATCACCGCATCGAGTTCATTCGGTGCCGGCAGCGCTTAATCTGAATGCCATCGTCAACTGATGGCAGGGCATTAGTTTTCCAGGGGCGACCAGAACAGGGAAGCGGAAGTTTCATTACAGTCGCCCAAAGGAGGAAATGAGAGAGCCTGCGAAAGCGCTGAAATCGATGCGTATCTTGAGCGATGATTTGCGGTGTGTGAGAGTTGAAAGTTTGTGAAAACCATAAAATAATTAACACTTGATTATTATTCGGGGAGCGATGGCTGGACGAAAGTTTGGCAACTCCGCTTAAGTGCCGACATGGGTGACATCGACTTAATGTCCCTCCGCCCCAGGCTCTCCCCCGCCTCTTTTCAACCAACTCCTCGGAAAACTATTCTGCTGCAATCTAAAAACAGATTTAGCTTGTGCCTCTGCTGTCAGCAGCAGAAAATGTGGAAAATGCAGAAAAGCAGCTGAGATTTTTGGGGCGCTTGGGGGATGCAAATTTCTGCAGAGCACAGCAAGATGGATGCAAACCCCAATTTATCAAAAAACGCCACACCCTCCGCCTCGCCTTTGTTCTTTCTAATAAACTTAAGTGCAAGTTGCAAGCCGGCGACAAAGGAAGCCAAGACAAAAGCACCACGAATAAAAAATTAACGTCAAACAAAGAAAATCCACCATTATTATGTGCCACGCACACACACACGCACACACACACCGAAATGCGAATGGGAGAAATGCGCTTCACTCTGGACTTCCGGGGCGGATACAAAAGTTTTCAAAGATGGTACTAATTAATGGTGGTAATAAGGAATTAATGGTTTAATATTAGATAAAAATATAAATGGTAATTTAATAATTTATTTAAACTAAAAGTTATAAGTACTTAGTAAGAGATGAAAATGATTTAAGAACTTTTTTTATTGAAATCAATTCCATAAAATTAGAATTTTATATATAAGTTTGATGAAAAATGCATCTTTAAATAGATTATGAATTATGAGTTTGATGTCAAAATAATATAATTTGTATTTAGCAAAATAGTAATGGAATATAGTTTTGCATTTGATTTTGATCTTCTCACTTTAGAAGCTAAAATAAAAATAAATATTTCTGCATAAACTTTAAATCTTGACATCTGTTTTATTTTGCTTTTTAATAAGCCAATATGTCACGGTACTCTTTTTTATAATTTTATTTTTATTATATTTTAACGATTTAAACTGTCAATTTGGTTTCTTGGCTGACTATGGCAACTCCTTGAACCACCCAAGTCAGGACAAAGCGTGAAAAAATCCGCTTTTCATCCCCGCAAGGATATTCTTTTTGGGCAACCATAGTTCCCTGTTACTGTTTTCTTTTTTGTTCCGGGAAAACAAGGGTGACATGATGGACAGACGTCGACGTTTTTCATCAGCGGTCGTCATCTTGTGTCATCGTCAGACGGCGACTTTTACAGTGAGAGAAAAAGATGGTAGCAAACTGATTCTACAGATATACAGAATATATAAATTAATGAAAATGCTGAACTCATTAGAGCTGCGGTATCAAACGGCGGTATAAACTTTTCCAAATAATATGATAGTAAATATAAAATCTTTTGTAATTTGTGAACAGAATTAAGTTTTATACTTAACATAATATATCATTGGTATAAGACAGTCTGTAGCTCAGTCTATCTAGAATGTTTAAAGTTGACTTACTTTTAGAAAAAGAGAAAAAAACACACTGAGAAATAACATAAGACAGTAAGCAATCATTAATTATTTGATAATAGTTTTCGGAAACCATAAACCAATCACCGTAAGTAAGTTAAAAATATGAAATTACATACACATTTCGTATTTGTAGTTAGTACTTTTCTTCAGTGCACACGGCTTCCGCAGGGACGCACGCACTCAGAACCGTGCGTATGGCGGCCATTGGCATCATGGTGGTGCTACGGCGGAGCCATTGTGGTGGTAGTGCTGCGATGGTGGTGGTGGCAGTTGTGCGTATTTTTGTGTCACATTCCAATCTATATCAATCTTGTGTTTGCAATGACGGATGGCATTTGTCAATGTCAGACATTTTCGTTTTCCATTTGAGGCTCTAATGGCAGACAGGCAGAAGGCAGAAAAGCCGGAACAGGGTCCTGTGTTCTGGATCCTGTTCGGCATTGTCCTGGGCCTTAAAGTCACTCAGCCACTTGCCGCAGTCATCGCCCACGCCTACTCCGCCTACAGCCAGCAACCACCACCCACATCTCACCACCCAAACGCCCTCGACGCATGAGTTTGACGAATTCGATGTCAAATATTTTCCTTGTTTCCCTCGACATTTTTTTATGAAAAGCATTTTCTGAGAATTAGAATTGGCTTCTGTGGGTGCGTTTTCCCCCGACGCAAGGGGAAATTCTTTCGTGGGAGGGTGGTTGTGTTTATTCCCCTCCCCTTTCTCTACTATTAGTGTTTTTCGGGAATCCGTGTGTTTGGGCAGGAAATCAGTAAATGTGTTTGCATTAAGTGTTTTCGATTCGCAAATATTTGTAGTCTTTGGGGAATCCCTGCTTTTAGAGGTGGGAGTTTAGATAGGAAATGTCACAGGGTTTTACTTATATGAAAGTTTGCTTGAAAATTTAGTCAATCGAAAGAGCATTTAGGGTAAACATCAAGGGAATTTCAAGGGAATTTTAGGGTAAACATCAAGGGAATGTTAACTAAATGGTATACCTGAAGTACCTCGCAATGGCTATTCATTATTTAATAATATAATAATATTAACAAGTCCGGTCCGTATTATGTTACTAGGTGTATAAATATATCCCCTTTCATTAATTAAATTTACCAAATCATTATTACCTAAAGTTTTAAATCCTTGCTCCTATATATTGCCTACGCTCTGAGTGCTCATTTGTTTTTTATGCTCTCTGCGTAAGGGCTTGCTCGGTCATAAGCTTTGAGCGCTCGCGACGACATTACACTAACAATTTTTAGTGTTCCTCTTTCCGCCTCATTCGTCCGTAACTGTTTTTGTTTCTTCCTAGATCATCCTCGAACTCCTTGCTATTCCACTATCAATTTCTCGTTTTCTTCTTTCCCTCTCATTCCGTCCCTAACTGTTCTTGTTTCTTCCTTTATCATCTTCGAACACTGCACTGCAATTCATTCCCTATAACTTCGGTTTGCACTTTGGAATTGATTTCGCAGTGGACTATTTGGCGAGTGTAAGTGATAAATTGGTAAGCAACAAAAGTGTTTTTCTTTCTCTCAGTGCACAGTTGCAAACCAGCACAAAAGCGTCTCTAAATATATGCACGCTTACGTTTTCTTGTATTTGGATTAGTAAATGCTCTGCCGTAACACGAATTTGAGCACCCCCTTTTCTATTTGTTCACTTCTTCATATTTTGGCAATCTTTCCCTATGGATCTCTAATCCCCCGAATAATAGCTAATTTTTTTAATTAGATTCCTTCAAAAATCGCGTGCTCTCCTCCAACCTCACCCAAGAGAGCTCTCCTGAACTTGTTATCCCCTAGCAAATCTTCATTACACGTCACCTCTCGAAAGGAGTTACTCGCAACAAATTGGAAAACCATTAATCACAGGTCCGAATGTTTAATTTGGCGAGGGAGGGGCAGGACAGTCGACGTCAAAACAAACACTCGACATCATTCAACATTAAGTAATGATAAACCAAGACCTGCGTGTCCCTATAAAATATGAAGAACAGCCGAAGCAATGATGAGCCGATGGCCCAGCAGAGTAAACAGAAACCACCCGCCAATGTGTCAGCAGCCAAAGGGAAAAGCAGTCTTAACCAAAACAAGAACCAGAACCAAAACCCCCAAAACCCCAAACCAAAACCAAAATAAAACAAACCGAAGAGCCGCCGTTTTGTTGGACATCATTAATAACAAAATACAACGAGCGGAGCGGTCAGGATTAATGAATGCTTATGAGATGCCACTGCAAAGATGTGCTAAACGCACGTCCAGCCCAAGGAGGGAGTGCGGTTCCAGTCCGAAGGATCACATCCGTGGGCAGCCACTCGGTTGGATCGGAAATTAATGAACTGGCCCAGAACTAAAGCCGAAAAACTGGCAAACAAAACCGAAATGCATAAACAATTGAAAAGTGTGTTGATGTTTGGGTGGGTTTTGGCCATGTACGAGGTACCATCTTGTCTGCCGCGTTAGAGACTCTCTGTATCCTTTGGCAGCACTTCAGTAGACTCCATGTCGACATTGCGTTTGTTTTCGATCATTTCGAGTGGAGCGTTGTAGAACGAGAGAGGGGAAAAGGGGGAGTGGAGCTGGTTGATTGATGAAGCCCAAACGTGAATTTCACACCCAGCCGATATCGCATACAAATCGAATTAAAGACAGAGCCAAACGATGGCTAATTAATTTCCACCAAATATTGATAAATGACTTGCTACCCAGGCAATGCAAATCTACAAACGAGGAAACTATGAAGTTCTTTCATTCCACTGTTAACTATATAGGAGTGTATATATACTATCGGATTATGTATATATCTATATAGATTTGATGTTGGAAACTTAGGAAGAAGAATTATTTGAATATTTGATAAGTAATCAATATTTAATAGCACTTTGAAAGGATGTAAAATGCGCTAAAATATATCTGTATATCTCAATGAGTATTCAACAGATATGACAGGTTATGAAAGGTTTGATCTGATAATGTTAAGTCAAACTAGAGTTCTTATATGAGATCCAGTACTTGTGACACCCTCTCAAGCTACCACGACAAGTCCTTTAGATTACTCAACTTTCCTTAAATGGTTCTTTAAAGATCGATGAATAGTAAACCAAGACTGTTTTAGAACTTTGATTTGTTAATACCAAATTGAAGAGAATTTAGTTTCCTCTTCTTTCCCCTGCCTTTGGAACTCATTTCCTTCAAGTGTACCCAGATCGAGGGACTATAAATAGACGGCCCTGATAAATGATGTGCCGAAGAACGGCTTCAAGTGACGGGGGCAATTATGCGAGGAGCCAGCTGAGGTCCAAATGACAGGTCGATTGAGTTAACGTTAACGCTAAACGCTAACGCCTGCCGCTGCCTTCCGAGAGCCAAGTGGATGAGCCAAAAGGGAGGAGGAGGAGGTGGAGGAGGAGCTGCTGCACCGGCTACGGCTACCAGCTAAATTTGTGGCTATTTCTGTAGCAGCGGCCGGCTCGATCGGCCCACGATCGATCGCCAATCATTAATAATCCATTGGAACAAGGTCTTATGGCAGAAGCAGTCTTTTGTGGAGTAACGCGGACCAGGGCCAAACGGCCAAACAGGTGTGCCAGGCAGCTCTTCCTCACTCCCCTTACCCCCTTTGGAATATCACTTCTGTACGGGGATCGTGGGCTTTCGAAATCGATCATCGTCACGCCGCCGCTCAAGTCGATTAAAGTGAGCGAATTTTCATTACCAGAATTCATTTATTTCGCTAGAGAAAATTAAAATTAAATATCCCGTTGATTGTGTTGGCTGATCGCTTTTTGTTTCTGTAATCCGGCATTCAATTTCGTGGCTATAAATCGAGTGGGCCAGAATGGCCAGCGTGGCCAGGACCACACACACGTCAAATTGTTAATAGAGTTTGTCTATGGAGAGAGGGAAATGACTTGCAAAGGGGGGATATGGGGAAGTTTTAATTTAAACACCAGACGAGGTGGCATTTTGATGTCTTAAGACTTTCTAAAAATTAAGCAATATTTGGCAATTATGGATTAGATTGTTATGGTAATGGTGATATCTTTTTTGGATTAAAGTTACAAGAATATTGCATTTTATTGATATTTAAGAGAAAGCGGGAAGCTGAAGATGTAATCACTTAACATTAGCAAGAAATCAGCAAAGATTTCAGCGGTTTGAAACTCTTTTTACCCCTTAAACTTATTGATATATTATATTTCTCATAGTAAATTCTAAGCAAGTTTAACCTTTTTAAAATTGATAAATGTTCTAATATTGTAATATATTACTCTTTAAGTACACTTGTTTATTCACAACTTACTTTCAGAGTAAAGGATGATCCGATGGCCGCAGCAGTGAAATGGAAACTGATCTACTGCTGTCGGCACATACCAATCCTATTACCATTTCCACATCGATTGGCAGCTGACTCGTCAAAGGCAAAAGTCAAAAGTCAAAGGCCATAAATCACCGACAGACAGTGGGCCAGACAAAGGATAAAGTCAAAACACAAAACAAACAGACAACCAATATACAGCCCACGCGGGGAAAGGATGTGAGTGCCGAGCGAAGTTTTATGACGGTCAGTGTCAGTCGGCAGTTGACGTTTTGAAGGACATGGACTGGCTGGCTAGGGAAGGATTACAAAGAATTACCGAACAATATTTGCATACCAATTCGCCACGCATCCCGGAAAATGTCAAGGACATTCCAAGCGAAAGACAATGGGTGAAATGGGTGAGAGTTAGAGAGGTTAGTCGGGGTGTCAAAGGTTAAGAGAAGGTCCGGTGAAAGAAGAGCAGCCGATTTATGGTCCTGCAATTGAAGGACATGTGTTGACGGGATGCATTTAAAGATGCATTTCCAGTTTGCTTTTATAACTACACTCAGCGAATAATTGGTTACATTCTGGCCATTCACCGACTCTGCAACATTAATGCAAATGGGGGGAGGGCTGGGGCTGCACTGGCTTCGTGCCGTACGAAATTGTTGCACATTTGCATAATTATGGCAATTATCAATATATATTCATTAGTGTGAGTCCGATGCTTAAATTTAATTCGCTTTTAATTAGCCCCATAACAATTACGCTCGACCAGTTTCGGGGCAACAAGTCGTTTCATTGTGTTTTTAAGTGCCTGCGTTTACATATAATTTGCAAAAACATTGATTATGTGAGAGAGCGAACGAGAAACACACTAATTTAAATTAATAATTAGGCAAGAAATGCTTACTAGAGGCAGCTTTAAAGTAAGTCTCCTGAATGAAGATTGATTAAACAAGTTTTCATGTACCCATAAGTCAAACTTACTTCTCAACTAGTTTATTAATGATAAATGAAATAAGTTAAGTTATATTTAAACTAACAAATGCTTGTCTAACTTCGACATAACTTGCTTTAACATTCATTTTAGTTACTCCTCACAAACTTAAATACTTTATTTAAATACCAAAAATGAAAAATGAAACAAGCGATCTACCTTATCTGACCAACTCAGTAGCCTTTGTTTTAGGCCACCGGGTAAATTCAAGATTTATTCATTTAGCTCTTATTCAAATCACCTGGATTTGTTTTGTAATTAAAATTAAAACGCAGTAGAAGGGCGGCGAGGCAGCCAGAGAACCCAAAATCAGCCATTGACCCCACGCAGCTGGGAAAAGGCGATGGGAAAACTGGTTTTCCAACTCATTTGAGCCTGCTCAGTCCGGCAGGCAGGCGATAAATTTTCTACCTGTCAATAGATGAGCGGCTACCTTAATGGCATCCCAGCGATAAACCGGCAGAGGCCTTTGATTGCGAGAGACCAGCTTTCTCCCTTCTCGCTCTTCCAAAATGGCTGGCCAGATGCACTTGCCGGCCGCCACTTAAAAGGCAGTTTTCCATAATCGCTGGAATTATTTAGCAACAAAAAAGGGAAAGAAGAGAAAATGACTTGGGCGAATTAGGGCCGAAAACACGCACTAAATGGGGAGTTGCATATCAAGTATGGCCTGTACAGTGGGTAATGGCTGTGTCAACAGGCAGCCGGACGGCCCCAAGCCTGCCAATGAAGTCATTAAAATTTCACCCTTATTATGGCTTTTAAAGTGATTGCAAAATGAGCTGGAGAGAGGTGGTTCGCCGATGAAACGTCTTCATTAAACATGCATCAAATTCGCGATTAAGTAAAAAGTGCACGCACATTTTCCGTATGAAATAATCAACCTTCCTCCCTTTCCCTATTTTTACTCTCATCAGCCCCGTCTACGGAAGGTGCAAGGAAGCAATTTCCTGTAATTGCCACCATTCTTGTTAATCACACTTGTATGAGACCATATATGTTGCAAGCAGCCCATCCAGAAGCCGGGGCATCCAAGTGCAACAGGCCAAATCGTTTTCTCTCCGCTGCCTTCTAAATTCGCGATGAAATATTTATGAGCTGCTCGAAATGCACACACCTGAGCTGGGGCTGGGGCTCTGAGAGTCAGTCCGAAAGACCGTAATTGGGGTCCTCCTTGGCCAGATCCCAATACTTCCGTTACGCGACTCAAAGCGATCGATTTAGCAGATCCAAATAGTATGGAATTAGTCCAAAGTGGGCCATCAAAAGCTCGCTCATCAGCATTGGGCCGTTTAACTTTTTTTGGCCGAAAATAACTTATACAATTTAGCCATAAATTGCTTAAAAAGTCTTCATATTTTTAGGCAAGTTATAATTTTAATAATTTATTGACAGCGAAAAGTGTTACAGTTGCAAGGCCTTCAGCCAAGTTTAACACAAAGTATATAGCAGAGTAAGTCTAAGAAAGAGAAGAAAAGGTAGTTTAACTTGTTTTAAATATTAATTAACAAAAAAGGAGTTAGCTCTTAAGCAATTAACGCCAAACACTTTAGTCGCAAAAGAAGGCCGAAATGTCTTTCCCCAAAAACCATTTTCCTCGAACATCTATCAAGTTGATGCTTCAACTTTTACCACAATTTGTCCATTTGGCAGACTCATAATCAAGCGACTTCCTTTGGTGGCGCTCAAAGGCGTCGCCATTAATTACTCCAATCAAAAGATTCCTTTTTCTCCACATCTACTGCCAAGTTAATCTGCGTTTTAGCTCAGTTTGGCCTTTTTGCATTCACAATTTCCCTCCGTAATTTGCCACAATTAACGACTGATCAGCAATTAAAGTTGCATTACCAGCGACGGGCTTTGGAGTCGCGAGAGAGCGGCACCTGCGGATTGGCTGGATGCGTGGATAATGTATGCCATGTCTCGGCCGATCCATCAGTTGGCCGGCCATATATGCGGTGGGTCGTGATTGCCTCTGATTGCCGCTGCAGCATCAAAAACGAGTTAAGGCCACCACCGCGGAGTATTTGGTATTTGGTGGACTTTTCGCAGTTTCTAATGATGATGACAGAGCCGCTGGCCTCGTCGGATGTCATCAAACTCGCAATCCACCAAATGACGGAGTGGAGGTCAAATCGAGGTCCATTCGGGCTAAAGATTGGGTTATCTTAAGGAGTGGCACTACTGTAGTAGTTAACAACTTTGCTAGCCTTTTGTTTACCTTTTGCAATATTTATTAAAAACTAAAGTAAAGTTTTTCGACTAACAAACTAGAAGAAGCCGTTTTAAAGAACCCAAATCTAAGTCCTAAAGACTTCTCTCAAGTTTAGTTTTCCATTGTGGCAACCACATGTTGCTGTCCCCACTTAGCATATTAAAAAGCAAGTTCACCCTGCTGCCAAATCCCGTATGCAACTCCTTCGCCGGCAGCCAAGATTTATGGAATTTAATTTCCTGAGCTGCCTTTCCTGCCCGGCCAGCCGTGGAAAGTGGAGTCTGGTGGGGCCTTGTACAGTGTTCAGAGGGTGTCAGCAGTGTAAACAAGGATGCAACGGATGCGTGGCCATGTGAAGAGTGACACGTAATATTCGCAGCAAGCCACAGGCTGCTGCTGCTGCTGCTGCTACTTTTGCAGCTACTTCTGCTGTCGGCACATCTGCAGTCGGAAAACTGAGGAAAACGGGAAAATGAGGAATGGCCCCGGGAGCAGGGACGACCCAATAACATTAGGCCAACGGCAGTAGCAATATTACCAACTGTTACCTAGGGCGGAGGCTCGGAAAGGGCCAAGGAGAGGGGAGGGGTTACCAGGAAGACAGTGAAAGTGAAAGTGCGCCTAGCCAGGTCGCGATGGCAGGCAAATTTCATGCACCATTGCGTGACAGGCAGCGACCCAGCGTGGGAGGGAAAAAGTGTGCCTGGAAGCGGCAGGACATCGTTTCTCCACCGCAGGAAAAGTTTGTCGTTTTTCGAGAATGTTTCGAATTGAATTTGCTGATATAAGGAAGGTAAGTACATTAAGAATTAAATTTACTTTAAATATTAACAAATTTTAAGACTATCTTTGTTAAAAGTATTTACTGAAGAGGCATCTGAGATCGATTAATATATTCATGGTTCTTTATGATCTGTTTCGAATCCTTCATAAATGTAACAGATACTTACAATCTTATAATAGATCTTTTCAAGATATTTGTTAATAAAAATAAACAATGCAATCTTCTTTTATGAACTCAAAACTCTTAACAATGAATTTAAAGTCATTTTATGACGAGACAAGTAATAGATTCAAGTTGGTTCCTCCGTTTTTTCTCCCTGCACCGCCCCTGCTACTGCCGTTGTCCTTGCTGTCGTCCTCTCCTCGTTAATGCCACACACGAAAGAAAAGGGGAAAGACTCGCGAGGAAGGGCAAAGGATGTGGGAAGGGCAGGGCAGGGAATAATATATGAGTGCACTCACTCAAACTGACTAAATTCCCTGTCCCACTCGCCTGGTTTTCCCTCGTTTCCCTCCCCCCACCTCACCAACCAGCCCCACCAAAAAATACGAAATAAAAAACCAAACCGAACTGAACTGAACCGAACCGAAAAATGTTTGCTCTTGATCGATTGCCGTTGAACCGTAGCGGAGGCAACGCACGCGTAACAAATGCAATCCTCCTTAAAAGCAGAAATGTGTCACACGTTGGCGATACACTCCGCCCAAGGAAGGGGGCCCTCCCCTCCTGTAATGGCTGAATCCTTTCATTGCAACTCCTCGACTCCTACTCCCACTCTGCCACCCCTTGCTCGGCTTTTTTCTCGCCCCATTGTCGCCGTTGTTGCTGATGTGTCCTGGCAGATCCTTTTGTTGCCCTTTTACTATAAACTTTTTGTCCCGAGCTTTTGTTCCAGTAGCTTTCTCTTCAGCTTCTTCTGCTTGTGCAGAAAACAAAGATAAATTGGTTAATTTCCCCCACCCCGCCCAGTCAGACATCAATCGATGTTCTCTCCCCATCTCCATCTCGCTACCATGGCTGCCATCTCCCTCGCTCTGGTAATGGACTTGGCTGAGCTT